ATTGCTCTCTACAGCTTCCTGAGGAGGGGAAGGGGAGAGGGAGGTGCTGATCTCTTCTCCCTGGTATCCAGCGATAGACACGTGGGAATGGTTCAAAGCTGCACCAGGGGAGGTTTAGACTGGACATCAGGAAGCACTTCTTTACCGGGAGGGTGGTCAAACACTGGAACAGGCTTCCTAGAGAGGTGGTCGATGCCCCAGGCCTATCGGTGTTTAAGAGGCATTTGGACAATGGCCTTAACAACATGCTTTTACTTTTGGTCAGCCCTGAATTGGTCAGGCAGTTGGACTAGATGATCATTGTAGGTCCCCTCCAACTGAAATAGTCCAGTCTAGTCTAATTCTTATCCTTCTTACATGCTTGTTTTCCTGTTTCAATCAGGGAAGTATTTAGCCCCCAATGCAGACTTGCAACTTGATCCTCTGCAATGTCAGAGACTCTTTTCTCTAGTGATAATTTCACTGGTGAGGGGACAAAATTGTTTCTTCCAGAGGTTACGCTTAGGTGGAGTCCCAATTACTACAGTATTTCCAGAAAGCACGATTAGATTTTTTTCCATCTGCACTTATTTGGCAGAAGGAGCTTTTTTTCCCTCCCATGTGCAAACACTTGTCACAGTGATCCACGCGTTCCTTTAAATTGTGCTGTGTGGGCTTGGGACAAGTCCAAATGGAGGTTGGTGTAAATGTGCTGGCACAGTTCTTCAGTGGGTTTTGAAGCCAGACTTGGTCTCCAGTAAGTTTAAATGAGAGTTTCAGCCTTTATATGCCTTAATATTTCAGGACACTTAACTGTGAGTTTACATTTTATGCTGCAGTGCAGCTGCTGAAGTGGGTGAAGGCCCCCAAGGTGGAGCACCCCGTGACGCTAGGGAGGTGATCGCAACTGACATCGTTTTGCCTGAAAACAACTGGGTTTTGGTGCATGCTTTCTTCCCACCCTGAGTTAGCAAAGATTAAACTTCCAGGTATCCTGATCACATCCGTGGCTTTTGTGACTGAGGTAACCTGCGAAATTCAGACAGGTATTACTCTTACCTTTTAAGGAGGCATACACACAGAGTCCTGGGTCTTTTCAGTGTTTTAGTATTTCAGTCAGTGGAGTTTTTAATCAATAGAAATGTAAGTACTCAAATTTGTTAAAACTGAAGATTTGCATTTAAAAAGAAGATTAAAATACAACTGCCTTGGTGAGAACGAGAGAGAGAACAAAATGGAAAATAAACTATCATGGAAAATAATTAGGGAACACTTAAAGACAAAAGAGGAAAAGCCAATTTAAAATAGTAGATATCAGGAGAATCCTTCCATGGCTTCTGTAAAGATGAAGAAGAAAAGAGGTGAAGAAGGAAAAGAGAGGCTGCAGTTTTGACTCGGGCGAGTATTACACTGGTCCTCAAGAAGTCAGTCTTGTTCTTGCATTAATGTCAGGCTCTAGTGGGAATGGGGAAAGGAAGGAAGGTAAGAAGAGGCAAGGCAAGAAAGGAAGCAAGAACAGTAGCTTGATTAAAAAAATGAATAAATTGAAGAATTAAAAATAAAAGGCAGGCGAGCTGCGGACAGCCTCTGGTGAGAAAGAGTATTTTTCCAGGAACACATTTCAGAAAGTAGAGCGAAGCACTGCTATGTCTGCATCAGTCACAGGGAGAGTCAACAGCGGCTGCTGGCCTCCTGGACAAGCACGGCCGATGGCATTAAGTGCAACACGGATTTGCACTCTGCTCCTGGCTTCTGGAAGCAGACTGCAGGTTAGATTTCCAAACATCGCTTCTGTCTCCATTCACGTTCACCCCAATGGCTGAAAAAAAGTTGTTCCTATACTCTTTGCTTAGAGAATAGTAGTATTTCTCTTCTGGCTTCCCTCTGTTGTTTAAGTTCAATGGTACCCATGGTTTCCTCTCCTTCATTACCAGTTTTCATCTTCAAATAGTCATACCTTAATGTGTACCTCTGTTGTTCCATTTTATAAACCTTGCCCTGCCTCCTTGCACTGCCTGTACCTGCTCCACGGCTAGTTGTAACCGAGGAAATTCGTAACACATCCTCTTTGGTGCGACCGATCCCCGTGACCACTGAGGGCCCCTTACTGCACCCAGCAATAATCCTGGGCACACGCGGCTTCTCTTGGTTCGGATGAAGAGCCCAGTGCTGCGGGTCCGATGTGTTTTTCCTGCCACTCCTGCATACTAGCGTGGTCATTTCATGCACACTCGCTTGCCTGGCGGTCCCAACGACTGCCTCGCTCTTGTCGAGAGCTGTTGGCATCAGCACCCCTTTCCTGCGATTGCTACAGGTCTCACCCGAACACCGAGCTGTACTTTCTAATAAGAGTTTCCAGTGTGATGACTGGGACGAAGTATAGCTGGCTTTGGAAGCTGGGTGTATCTAGTGAGGTCTATGAACTGAACTAAGACTGAAATGTAACATTTTTCTGTAGAAATCTCACAGAAAATAGCTGTGCCTTTTTGATACTGCTGAAATGCATGCTGTGCTTGTGCTAAATTCCGTACAAGCCCACCAGAACTGGCGGTCCTTGTCAGGATCTGGTCCACTCTTTTTATGGTAAGTTTTCCAAAAACAAGCTTCGGCTGTCAAGCGTGCCATTTTCCCCCAGGCAGGTTCTTTCTAATACCGTTCCTGTGGAGAGAGGGGGAGGCTGGTTTTGTTTAAAATAGAGTACCTTTGCTAATCTTATATTGATGGGTGAAAGGTAGTCACTGCTAATGAGAGAGACCTAACATGTATGATGTTAACAGAAGGCTCAAGATTATAAGGCAGCTCCAAATAAAAGTAGTTTTTAATTCCCTTACGTTGCCTGACACTGCAGGAGAGTGGTAGAAGACTGGCTGTCCGAGAGAAACTGCTTTTGCTTTTCCTTAGAGTCGGGGTGATCTACTGCAGACTCCTGTTAAAATCTGCATCTGGCAAGTCAGAGAAGGGATGAGCTTATTTAAGCTTTACCAGGCTTTAAAACATCACTTTCGAAGACTTTGTGTGGTTACCAATTTTTAGTGACTTTTCAAGGAAAGTCCCCCCGCTAGAAACAGGTTCTCCCTCCTTTCTTAGCAGCGGTTCCCATCTCTCCGCCTTCCCCGCCCGAGAAGGGGCTCCCTTTGGCGAGCGGGAGGGCGAGCCGGGGGAGGAGGCCGGGACCCCGAGGCGAGGAAGAGGGGGGCTGCAGGCGGGAAGGCGCCGGGAGGCAGGGGGG